ACTATATCATCATCAATCCTAGGACGCAGTGTGGTCATAAGGGCGCTACAGAGAAGACAAACTGATAATTACCTTCAAATATATGGCTTAAAAGACAGATATGCACGTAGCGAGGTTTTGTCAAATGACCATTCGGATCCCCTCCTTTTGTAAGTCAAACTAACACATAAAGTCTTGTGCAAATTAATTGACACAAAATGACCTTTATTATTTACTTTTTATTTCGTATTTTTCCAATGAAACATGACCGAGTGCACATTTTAGTATTTCGCATGTCTATTTCACGAAGTCATTCCTTGCGAATTGACAACAGATTCTCTATTGGATTTAAATCGGAAGAGTTTCCGGGCCAGTCTATAGTACGTTGATTTGCTCACTGGTAAGGTTTGCCGGCGTTTTCCTGCAGATTTAGAGTCTTTGTAAACTTCCTTGGAGTAACGTCCATCGAAGACAATGGTCTTAGGACAACTAATCGACAGTCAAGACAATAGTGTCTGGGCGTGATAAAAATCTGATGTAATCGCGGATGACGCAGTATTTTTCAAGGCCAAAGAAATTTCATCATACACCCAGAAAATAGATTCATTCGATTACACCCTGTAATTCAAGTAGGTCTAAAACTAACCGTATGATGAAAGAAAGGAAACTAAAGTTGTTGTTTCAGTTAATTTGATAGCTCCCCTTGGTCACAAGCGCGTGGCTTTTGATTCTATCAGTGAACCCCGAATTGATGGCCGTTTACTTCAATCTAATACTCCGTAAAAATGCCTATGCATGTAAATATTTGTAATTGCTTGATTTTGGTATTTTCCATTTGTTATTTGCCTGTTGGTACGTGGCTTCTTAGCATTTATGCTTAGCTATTTCTTTTCTCTTTAATTTTCTACATTTTGTGGCGTCCAGTGTCCACACCGTAAACCAATTCTACTGCATAGATGGTATCAATAAAAGACGGTTTCGTTTTCTTACTCTTTCTACTAGAGGAGAGAGCCAATCGTGACAGTATGGATTCTAAGAAGAACTTCAATGAAACGCATCTTAGTCGTTGGCTTGGTGCCTCTTTGCGTGCGGTCTTAGTCTGTCTCTCCAATCTGGATATCGGAAGTGTATCGATTCTTCAAAATTCACGCTGCTTTCTGTTGATTTAGACAAAGGCAATCCATCATTGTCAGTATGCCACGCCCACGAGGTATTCTGATCCATCGCTTCCCATTCCAGGCTAGCCTTCGCACTCTGTAACACCTCTAGAACTTCTTGTAGAATTTCCTTCCTGTGCCTGGTATCAACGCCGTGTCATTTTCATATATTATGTGCTTAAAATTGTGGCTGACAATAATGAATCCTGGTAGAAGTTTAATTACCTTCGACATGTCTTGTAAGTTTTAGATTTTCTGAGCCATCTTCGTTCCGTGCCCCCAATTCGTAGTTCAATTATGGCTTTACATGACTTGCTTGAAAATGAGTAATCAGAAGTTTGACGTTTAATTGAAGTCGTAGACAGGTTATTTGGGAGATGTGCAAATAACCCAGCCACCAAGTTAAATCAACTACAAAATAGATATTCACCAAGCTTAGAGCGGTGCAATACGGCATTGAATAAGACTGACAGCAGATTATTGAGATAAGCTTTGGAGATTCAAGAATATTTGCTTTAACTCTGTTTGCAGAAACCGTGCACACATATTATGTAATACCAGTAATTATTACAACAATCATAATCTGTATGCATAATATAATATATATATATATATATATATATATATATATATATATATATAATTTCCATGAGTAATGTGGGTATTAAATTTGTACCTTTTCGCTAGGATGTTGAATGCAATCTCCACAGTGCATGTGACAAGTTTCAATTTATATAAACTTACACAAAATAATACGCCATGTTTTTTTTTGTATTTTTTTTTTTGTGTGTGTGTGTGTGTGTGAGTCTGTAATATTTTACATTATTATAATTATCACTTTTGAACTGGCAATGTCAGGTGGGAGCAGTGGTTTTGATATAATATACATAATGTCGATGCTGAAAAAACACAGGTGACATATCGACTCTGTTAAAGAAAAGAGTATAACTAGAAGAAAATGGGCAAACCTGATATTAGTAAGTACTTAAGAATACATGACGCAATTTTTGCCTCATGGACAAATTAATAATAATAATAATATTTTTTTTTATTATCTGTTTCACTCTTCTATGGTAGGAGATATGTAATACCTTCAGTGATCTATTCCGGAAATTGATTAGGATTATTAATTAGCACTGATAATATTTGCGCACGGGTTTTCAGGATTGATAGCGAACGATAGAGCCACAAGCTGAGTACCTTGTCATTTCCTTGGGTTTTCCATTTTCTGGATTTTCTTAGAGCTTGCCTTGAATTATTCATGATTATCTCTTTTTGTTCTTGTACAGTTTTACAAAAAAGGTAAAAGCAAATGAAGTTGAACAAATACAAAACAGATGGCGTGATAAATCTTCTTCTGAGTCAATACTCTCCCCGTAGTAACGAATTTGATGCAGACAAACCTCAAATCTATCTGTGGTTATGTAGTGCAAGATTAAAAACTGAAGGAAATGTTTTAGTCATGATATTAGGTTGGTGCAAAAATAATGTTTTTGACGTTGAGTTGAACGTCAAAAAACGACATTATTTTTGCACCAACCTAATACTAAACAGGACCAAGGTTTGCTAAGAGGAAATTACCAAGAACACATACAGAAAAAAATCGAAATGTAGATTCTGTGAGAAATATTCAGAAACAATGTTAACATGCTGTATCAGGTTGTACGGTATTGGCACCGGCTGAATATAAAACTCGGTATGACAGAATGGGCAATATCTGCACTGAAAGACCTACAATTATTACGTAATTGAAACTGCAAGAAAGTTATATGGACAGCACATAGACCCGCTTACAGACATGGGACTTGTAACAATGTTATAAGACGTTATAATACAGACACTCAGTACAATAGAAGCTAATCGACAACAAAGACCACAAAAATGTTCTTTCTTATTAACATGACAGTTTCTGTAAACTGTAATGTATCTTTGAAGATATGCAAAAAAATAAAATACAAAGATATTGAGGTGGAGATCTGAAAATGAGGGACATGGAGACATCAATAATTGCAGTGCTGTTTGGATCCCTGGGTTTGATTGGAAAAGGTTCTGCTACATTGAAGGGATTCCATCACTTAAGGAAATATAAAAAAAATCTTCTCACAAGTGCAGCTTACAACTTACGAAGAGTTTTATCAATGTAAAATATGTTTGCTTTCACAATGAGATTTCTGATGTTAGATCTGTTTGGGACCAGCAAGAAAATGAGTATGCAACAGAAATAAAAAGAAATAATAATAAAAATAATAATAATAATAATAATAATAATAATAATAATAATGAATTTCAAAAATGTGGCACATAGGAACATCAACAATCCCTGTTGTAGTTGGAACCCTAGTATTGGCTTGAAAAGATTCCAGTAGACTAATTGAAGGAATTTCTGGAAGTCCATGCCTCAAAGAAATATAAAAAAAATCGTTCTCACAAGTACAGCCCACACTTTACGAAGGGCTTTATCTATGTGTGTGTTTTTTTTTTTTTTTTATTTAGCTATTTATTTATTTATTTTTGTAGTTGGTCAGTGGAAAGTGTCATGATGCCATTTCTAAGCTTAGGTCTCTGGGCGGGACCCGGAAAGAAATGTGTACACGCCAGAAATCAAAGGAAATAATAATAATAATAATAATAATAATAATAAAATCCAGTAGAATGTCGTATCTCAAGATAGCAACCCGTTGATTGTGATGCTGAGAAATGATATCTAATGTTGCAAACAAACATTTGAATGTAATTGCTTCTAGCTCTGTAATAAGTCAAGTGCAAAAAACATATTCATGCATATTTCACTTCACACATCTTGTTTAGATTTGTCTCAATGCGATGACTACACTTATATAATTCTCCCCGATTGCATGTCACCTCATCTATTTGCATATTCTGATAAAAAAAATACCTTATGTCATGGAGAGACTTGCAATCGAATCGTGCTGCACAAATCAAAGGCAAATTCTACTACTGCTGCGACTAGCTACTTTCGCTACTTCCCAAATTGCATAAATTTAAACGTGCTACTGAGTTGGCATTTCAGACCCACCCTTTCACCGTTGAAACGGTTAAATGTAACCGTCTCTTCTACTTCAATAGCTTCATGTCTCGCACTTTCCGTCTGTAGAACTCCTTTCCTCTTACTTGCTTTTTTGAGAAACTATTTCTTTCCTCCAGCTATTCAAATGTAATGTCAATCGATATCTCCAGATGCCTTGTTCTATTTCTCGTCCTTCTCTTCACCCTATCCTCTATCACGCCTCCTTGCTCTTGCTACCTTTCTCTGTAACCCCTTGCGTGCTAGTGTCACTTCCGCCTTTCATGGATGAAAAGATCAATAATAATAATAATAATAATAATAATAATAATAATACTGTCAAAATTAAGTGTTTTTATCATACAAAGAAAACTGAAATTAGCAGGAAATATGCCAAGTGATGATTCATTATTTATTTCATCATATTATTACTTATATTGTTTTTATATTATTTGTTTATGCAGTTTCTTTGTTATTTTTATCTTTTATATTGTGTTATATATTTTTTATGTATTTGTTATGCTCATCATGTGTACATTTATCAAAGCATTGGTATGAATTAATTAGATTAAACATAACGTATACATTGTGGTAAATTGAGAAATTTGGAAAGAACATGGAACCTCATCGCTTCAGAATGCTGTGTTGCTTGGCATCGGGAATATTCTGCGAAAAGTGCTTTTTGTCAGAGAACTGACGAATTGGAGAACAGACGACCAGATGTTTCGAACTTGCAAACGAAGATAATATGTGTAAGAGCTTAAAGGATACATGCATGGCATTGCTTTTGATATAAGAGACGACTGGCAGAGATTTGGGGGATTTGAATGTCGCTCAACCTAGATGAAGAAGAAGGAGGAAGCGATGACGAAAAGGAAGACAACGTCAACGACGGCGACGGCGACGGCGACGACGACGACGACGACGACGACGACGACGAAGAAGAAGAAGAAGAAGAAGAAATAGAAGAAAAACAAAAAGAAGAAAAAGAAGAAGACGAAGCAAAAGAAGAAGAAAATGAAGAATAAAACAAGACAACGAATAAGAATACGAAAAAGTAAAAGACTAAGAAAACGAAGACAAAGAAGGAAAGAAAGAAGCAGAAGACGAAAACGCAAAAGATGAGAACGAAAATTGAAAGAAGACGAAGAAGAAGAGGAATTAGAAGATGAAAATAAGGGTGGAAGAAGAAGAAGAAGAAGAAGAAGGAGGAGGAGGAGAAGGAGGCGGAAGAGAAGAAGGATACGAAGAAGAAAAAAACAGAAGATGAAAAAGAAGACGTGGGGAGGAGGATGAGACGAAGAACAAGATGAAAAAGAAGATGGCGCAGGAGACGAAGAAGATCAGTGGAGCTGTATTCTGTTTATATCTGCTTTTGTATTGTCTTCTTCACCACTCGATAAAAGTGGTGATAGCAATGGATCTCTAAGCCAAACTACTGTGATAAAACTTTTCTCTATTGAACTCCAAGACACGAAAAGAAAAATACCACAGCAGAGAAAAAATGATTCACTTTCAAAATGGCAATAAAATAAACGAAATATCTTCACGAGACATCTGCAATAGGTTAGATCTCTCACTGTTTTTTCCAGCTCGCCTCAAAGAAAATTTCTCTTTGCTGGCCACCCTAAGTTATTATTAATGCCATTAATATATATATATATATATAAAACACATTTGTTTTCACATATTTTCTCGATTTGATAAAAATGTGTTGCTGAAAGCAAATGGAAAACAAAAAGACAATATTTTTTTTATTCTGAAGAATATATATATATATATATATATATATATATATATATATATATATAACCAGTGGTGATTTTGCTTTTATTTATTTTACTTTTTTCCCTAAAATCATAATATTGACCTGGTGAAATTTTAAGACTCTTTAATCCATATATTTTTTTTATTGTTATTATGTGATACTGCACGCAATTTATACAAATACCGTCCTGGGTATGACGTTAAACTGCATACAACAGCACGGCCCCTGATTTGGAGGTTTTGAGGAAGCGTGGAACCGCCTCTTAATTGCTGGTGTTGCCAGGTCCACCCTGACTCGAGGTGGTAGCAGCTGTTAGGCTCCCAGCTATGGGCAAATAATGAACTCCCAGTTTTTCCCAGCATATATCCATGGCCTGGGTATGACGATAAACTACATCCGCTTCCTGGGTAAGGCGATAAACTACGTCCAAAAATAATGTTGCCAGCTATACGTTTTTTTTTAAATAATAATGTTGCCAGCTATACGTTTTTGAAAAATATAATGTTGTCAGCTATAAGTTTTTGTAAAATATAATGTTGCCTGCTATATGTTTTTGAAAAATAAAATGTTGCCAGCTATACGTTTCTGGAAAAATACTGTTGCCAGCTATACGTTTTTAAAAAAAAAAATAACGTTTCTGAAAAATATAATGTTGCCAGCTATACGTTTTTGAAAAATATAATGTTGCCAGCTATACGTTTTTGAAAGAAATAATGTTGCAAGCTATCCGTATTTGAAAAAATATAATGTTGCCAGCTATACAGTTACTAGTACTATTATATATATATATATATATATATATATATATATATATATATATATATATATATATATATATATATATATATATATCAATTTGGCATTAAATGACCTACAGTGGTTGATATATATAAAACCCATCCCACCTATACAAATACATTATATAGTTTCCAGTATTGTCTTTGTTCTATGTGGTCTTTATAATTTCCTTCATATTTGTCCCGTGACAGATGCCAGTCTGAGAGAATAATTTGAGGGGTTGTTAAGGTCGGATGTTCAGAAAAGAACAAACGAGATTTCTATTGAACGATAATTTTTAGAAATATTGAGGATGCCCGATAGTATTTATAATGGGGCTAAATGTTTGGGTTTTGTTTGTGTAACGAGGACAATCGAGTTTGCAATTTCTCCCCTGGTAGATCTTTCTGTGTATATATGTGAGACCACAAATATTTAGTCGCCTGTATTAACATTTCGAGCATTCAACTATATTATGGATAATTCCATGATTGTTAAGTGAATCCACTTCTTTCTTTCGCTAACCTATGTAAGTAATGTCATATTACTTTAGATTATTGAACGAATTGCTGCGAGACAAGACGGAAAACAAATGTATTTTGCTTTCTTGGAATCAAAATCATTAATACTCCATTTTTAGTCACTCAGCCACAAAACTCACACGAAGACTCTTATCAGTTCTTTTTGCACTCTTTATCAAAATAAACTTTATTTGTAATTTCGTTTACTCTTTCGATATAAGTTGCAAACGTTTTTCGTTTAATCTTGCTTTTTTTTTCCTTATGCAATCTTTTTAACTTCGCCTGACTTCCCTTTTTTTGTCTCTTTCTTTCTTCTTTTTCGCAAGATATCCTTTCTTTTATATTTTCTTTAAATGTGTTTTTCTTTATCGACCAACATTTATACTTTTTGGTACGCGTGAAAAATCAACGTGGCAATTCAGATGAGAGCGAAGAAACATTTAAAAAACACAAAAGAGGAAAATTAAATAAGCCAAAAAAATTTTTTATCAGGATTTTCGCTATCTTTTATATTTCTCTCTTTCCCCCTCCCTCTCTCTTTATATATATATATATATATATATATAGAGAGAGAGAGAGAGAGAGAGAGAGAGAGAGAGAGAGAGAGAGAATGAGTGAGGGCAAGGTGGTGGAGGAAGAGATGTTTTTTGCTGTCGTTGTCTTCTTTTCAAAGTGTGATAGGAATAAATTTAATTTTTCAATTACCTGATAAATGATCAATTTGGAGTTTTATTTATAAACAGAAGTTATTTATGGAGAAACAAAGAAACAAAATAAACATTTCTATTCATCTTTGTGTTGAGTAGCAATTGTTGAACGTATATATAGTTAAGTTTTGACCTGTTTTTCAAACAACCATTAGTAACGTCCTGAAGGGACACGTCACATAGAAGAGGAATATGACGTTGACATATGTCGTGCAAAAGCATCCCTGGACTTTAAAAAGAAGAATTTAATTCCTTTTATGTCTCGAATCTAAGTACAGAAGCATAGCCACCCATCTAATGGCTCAGTAGACTACGAGGTGCGATGGATAAATTATCGTCTAATTTACGCAAAAATGAAAATAACACTGACATCTCATCTTAACAGATATATTTACCAAAATTGCACAAACAATATCTTGAAATACTAAAGAGTAAATATATTCCATAAAATCACCATTGGCTTTTAACCAAATCCTCCTGACGATTTCGGCACGCTTTGCATTTGTTTTCAATTGAGACTCGCACAAAATAATAACAAGGGCTGCAGTCTGGGGAGTTAGGTTGCCATATATAAGTGCGGATATGGTCGGAGAAATTGTCTGACAGCCATGACTGGATACTCCTACTTGAGTGTCATGGTGCAGAGTCGTGTTGCCAAACATAGGGTCTTCCAGTAGACATCCTCTTGACCCAGTCAGCATTACTTCCTCAAAGTAATTGATGTAGGCCTGCGTGATGAGTCTGAGGCCCTCACCAACAAATTCGGGAGTTCTTTTATCAGAATGATCAGAGTGAGTTTTCCGAGATACAGTACCTTCTTAACCCTTTGAATCTTGAGTTCCTGAACAATTTTAACCCTTCTACCTGAGCTCCTGAGTCAAAATATGCAAGTAAATGTTAATATTTCACGGTAGATATAAAAATAGTTACAATTGTTTATCCACCGTTCACATGGTGGTTGAGTATTAAATCATTTTTCTTTACCACTTTTCAACCGGTGGCTGATCATTAAGTCATTTTTCTCTAGCACCGGTTAAGCAGTGGTCAGAGGTCGAAGTGTTAATCACCATTAGACTCATTCAACTCTTTTCGAATCCTCTGCATTGTCCTCAGGTTGACACCCAAAAATTGTACGTATTGGAGCTTCTGGCGTGAATTCCATGCAGTACAGCATAACCTTTCCAAATTTCTGGCGGAATAAATGGCTTCATACTGCTCTTTTTTCTGAAACACGGTTCCCAACTGACCCTAATATACTGTACAGTAGAGAAAATAAAAAAAAATTACCCATCGTTTTCTGTACTTCTAATAATGCATACATTGATTTTTGTTTAAGATAACACACACACACACACACACACACATATATATATATATATATATATATATATATATATATATATATATATATATATATATATACATACATATATATATATATATATATATATATATATATATAATAAATTAACATTTAAAACATGGTTTCTTCGCTACACAGTAATAACCATGTTTCAAAAACCGAAAATAAAAAACTTCAAATTTGATTATATAATATAATTAAAAGCATTAGTTCTGTTTCATTTTAAACCGGATTTCCAAAATCAGTTAATTTATAATATTTATGCTCTGTAAATTTACATTGAGTACTGATTGGTAAAAATAACAAATATCAATAAGAACACTGGATTATAGATCTTACTGTTTTTCGTTTTACTATGATATATATATATATATATATATATATATATATATATATATATATATATATATATATATATATATAAATATATATATATATATATATATATATATATATATATATATATATATATATATATATATATATATATATATATATAATAATAAAAATATATATATATATATATATATATATATATATATATATTTAAATGGAGATTTTCAGGTTACCCTTGTGATCACGAATATTCCTGTAACACAAAAGACTTGTGCATTAATTCTATATCAATTTTGTGCAAATATATTATTTTATTTAAAGAGAATCACGCTTAATCTCGATAGTATTTCTGATGATGCCGGTTCTTCGGCAGAATATGTCAGATTGATTTTTTCTATACATATTTTGCTGCTTACCATATATATAGAAAGATAGATAGATAGATAGATAGATAGATAGATAGATAGATAGAGAGAGAGAGATTCACATTATTAATCGCTTTTAAATTTTCATAATATTTTAAAATATAATAAAAAATTTCTCATGGTAATATTTGCACTGTGAATAAAGCAGTTCATTTATTCCTTTTCAACGGCTTATCAACCCTTTGTAGATCATCTTAAGCCTGAAAAGGTTTTTTAGATTGTAATACTTTTTAGCGGGGGGGGTAATAATGATTTCTTGATATAATTCGTACTAATTAACCCATAAGTAAGGAAGAAGAGGTGTTTTATTGCCTTTCCCAACGGTCTTTGCGCTTAAATGGATGCAACGAACCCCACTGAAATTGGAAATTTGCTCGCCAATTAATATTTCCGAGCCATTATCCATTACACCACCCGCATACCCACGCTTACACTTCAAGGTATCCTAAAGCGGCTACCCATCTAGTTACTGACCATGCTCGATACATGAGCATCAAAATGCATTATTTATTCTCACATATGGATCGGTTTCCTGAGAATCAAGGATCAATGAACGATGAACAGAGGGAGAGATTATATGAAGACATGAAAGAGTTGATGACCAGGTATCAGGGACGTTCCAGGACTTTGAAGTGAGACACCCCTGCCGTTGATCATTATAAGCGTTCGAATAAACGTAATTTTAAGCACTGAATTTTGAAACAATGATGACATAACAGGCTATTTACATGGAGTTACATTTATGCTGCTCAATTTCATGTAAGCGAAGTCTGTAACATTCCATTAATAAATTCTGTTAGAAAACAATTTTTCTCTTAAAAACGTATTTCGTAAAAGACATTAACAAAATTCAATCGATAATGTCACAAACATTGTAATCAATTTAGTCCGAAGATCAGATTTTGAAAAATCAACATAGCACAAAAACATGACCTGATAGAGAAAAGTGGGTGACTTTTTCGGATTCAGCGGTGAAAAATTCTCCGAAAACATTTGTAAAAACATAGACAACTTAAAAAAAAATCTTGCCAATTGATATTAGACAATATATCATTCTTTAGATGTGTCAGCGTCTGAATGAATTTAAATACATTTTCAATTTTATTATATTAGCCAAGAATTATTTCTTCTTCTTGTTCTTCTATGTGTTATGTTCTGTCAGGTCTGGGCGATTATGGTTGTCCACAACTTCCACTTCTTTGTAGTTTGTCTTTTTAACCTACCGTCTACTCTCCGTCCTGTCATCCCTTCATATAAACTCGTTAGTTAGGTGGCCCGTTTTCATCCACTTTTGCCTAAGGTCCGTCTTACGAGTATCAGTGTTTCTAGTCCTTCCTTCCTCATTACATGTCAGAGAATTTTTGCAGACTATCTCTAATTCTAAGTGCACAAGTGTTTTCTTTGTTTCCATAACCCTGAAAACTTTCCTCCCTGCTTATCTGAGCTGCGTTCAACAGGTTCCCAGCATCCTTCTCAAGTCTTCTTCTCCTCTGCGATGAGATATTGTACAGCATCCACTGACATACAGGAAGGGATTGCTATTACATAATGACCCAGCACACTTTTCTAAAGAAATTCTTCTATTTCTTAGTACTTTGCCGAGTTTTTGAAAAGCATATTTTTGTATTCCAAGGCAGCTTCGAATTTTGGTGCCACGTTCTCAATTCAATAAATCTATCAACTGAAAATGGAAGAGGTTTACAAAGACAAAAATGCTGAAATTATAACGACGTAAAAATCATGAGGACAATATTACAATGAATGAAAGGCTTCATGAACTGAAACGAGAAGGTCATCTTTCATTGTCTTTCTTCATTTGAAAAAAATACTATGTAACAACTAGAACAGCATTTCAAATTTCCGAGTAAATTTCAGGAAACCATAGAGAAGTTGGTCTACGTCCGTTTCACACTCCTCTCCGGTCTTTTGAAGAGTAGAGGTTTATCTCTTGTTTCCTCTTTATGATTGTTTTTTCAGTTCTCTCTGAATTCTACTTCAAATCTATACTCCTGACATCTCCCCTAAAACTCTGAAACTTTATATATTATTTATTTGATGTTTCTTTGTTTTTTTGTTTTTTTTTTATAGGAGTCGCTTATCGTCAGGTTCACCCTTCTTCTACGTCATTGGAACAGAAAAATGGGTTCATCCCTTTTTTCCTCGTTAGGTTTGTTTTTCCGGTTCGTTATGACGTCTACTTTAACTCTATATTTCTATACGTCTCTACCTAAACTCGGAAATTCCGTTGACTTTTTGCCGGTGTTTCACGCGAAGATGAAATGATGGCCCATCTAATGATGACAATATATAGCTGAGGAAGACGGCCGAATCCATACCTCAAACAGAAAAGATCAGAGAACAACAGTTTGAATCTGGACAGACCGCACATGTACTACATTGTTTCTAGGCAGCGATGTCGATCCATACGAAAAGTTTTGTTTTTAACAGGTGTTATGTTACTAGTTTTATATATGTTAGTTTGATGTAGAACACTGATATATTGGACCGGCATTTTTCTCAATGTGCCACGTATGTGTAATATTTTGTGGTAATATTAAATTTTACCGGAAACGACATATATAATGAATATAATAGAAGTTGACTATTTTTATCTTCCATTATTCAATATCAAAACATATCAAAAGTAATAAAAAATAAACACTAAAACAACAAATTATGTAACCTTAACATTGCAAATGAGTCTTTAGTATAACCTGGACACTGGACGCATCCTGACCACCACTTTGAGTAGCAATGATGTAGAATATTCTAGATATATTTTATTCAAATAATTAACTTTAATAACAATTCTTCACTTTTCATTATTTTTCGTCAGCATTAATTGTCAAAAAAGATACTTTTTTCTGTCTCATTTGAAGAGGAAAATATGTTAAAAATCTTACTGTTACTATTTTCTATATTTTCCTATTGCTTCTATGTTTTTGATTTCATTATAATTTTCGACAATCAATCGATGATGCAAGCAATATATACGGAGTAAAATTCGAAAATACTTCGAAGATTTTCCAAAAACTACGTAAAAAATGCTGTTAGCAAACCTTACAACAGCCTTACATATTCCGGGTATATGTATTGTTCTTATTTACTGAAAAACTCTCGATAGAGACCAAAAACTTTTCCGCATCCTTGTGGGTGACGAATTATTTTCCATCGCAAGCTTTTCGCTGCTCTAACGCTATTTCCATGGAGAGTGTTCAGATGAACTTCACTTCTTAGTTCTACCAATTCTAACCTGCATGGCTAGAGCCCTTCATGCCAAGCATATTGAAGTAAACCCGCCTTTTCCCTTCGTATTCCCCCTGGGGAGATATACATTCAACCCAAGTAGGTTCATCACATGAACGACTGTCTTGGGAAACCGATTTCCAAGAGGTTGCCTATCACGATCACTACAATTTTAACTTGTCCAAGTCTAGGAGTAAACGTTATCTTCCACACATACCACATAAATGGTACCTCTTACCCAGTAACCCTCTAGCTTGAGTGGCCCCCGGGCCTTATATTGGGTGAATATCACTGTAAAAAATATAATCATTCTTCAATTTGTTTTCTCACTGTGAAAATATTTTCATCATTAAATAATCTGTCAAAATACTTTTTGTCTCATTAAAAGAGAAAAAAATATGTTAAAATATTTCAATTGTTATTTTTCATATTTTCCTGTTGAGTCTCTTTTTGACTTCAGTATGATGTACGACAATAAACATATGTCGAACGCAGTATAGTACGGAATAAACATCGAAAATACGTCTATGACTATGCAAAAAATTACACAAAATATGGTGTTAGCAAATCTTGTAACAGTCTTGCATATTCCGGTGGTAAGCATTATTCTTAGTTGTCGACATTAAACTCAACACACAAGAAATATCAGCTTGTGCGAGCAATATTTTTAATTTCTTTACTATCATAGGGATACACTGCTTTACGAGTAAAATTATAACCGCATAGCGAGTAATTCTTAAACAGTCACTTATCTATTTATTAATCCCACTCATTCTCCAGATGTTCCTTTACCATCAAAGCGACATCAGTTTGAGAACCATTTCCAACAGCGACTTCTTGAATACTAATTTTAATTCAATTAAAACTGACCGCACTCCCCAAAGTCCTTATGTTTATATTAGCGTAGTGTTATCAGTACAAGGTGATGATCGACCGATATCGATCTCTTGAAATAAATAAGTATCCGACACAAAAATGATTTGTATCCTGCAATATTATCGGTTAAGAAGTTGGCCATTTCCCATATCTTCATCTCCAACGGAGACAGTGACCCATAATTCACTCACTGTTTTTACTTGGTCGGCAGACAGGTCGATTGGACTAGCTTTGAAATTATACGAGCCAAAGGAAGCTGAAAATCTCCACCCGGGTCTTGGACTGTCGATGACAAGCTGGGAATTGGTTACCATCTTGTACAGTTGAACCATAATAGAAGCAACAGCGATAGGGTTGATTGAGTGCAAAACATTTCGACATTTTGCAATAAAGAATAAGTAAAATTATTTTACAATTATCATTACAACATCAATTGATATTTATAAAATATATATATATATATATATATATATATATATATATATATATATATATTACTTTATAAAAATCAACTGATGTTATATATATATATATATATATATTACTTTATAAAATGTAATGATAATTGTAATATATATATATATATATATATATATATTACTTTATAAAATGTAATGATAATTGTAATATATATATATATATATATATATATATATATATATATATTATATATATATATTACTTTATAAAATGTTGTAATGATAATTGTAAAAGTATGTATATATATGTGTGTGTGTGTGTGTGTGTTTGTATTGTTATCCACAGACAGACTGCCCTGTATCTAGACGTCCGATTGCTTCAAGCCGGGATCGAAACTAGA